CGGACCCGGAGCGATGCGCGAGGTATTTTAGCCGGCAGTTCATACTGCATCCTCCGGTGGACAAAGCCAAGCGTCGAGTGACCAGAAGGCTGCACGAACTGCAACAACCGGTGCCCCCCGCTTTCACTTACGGTGAAGTTCAGGTGGCCATCGGGAAGGCGAAAGCCTCCNCGCCGACGATTGCTCGATCATGGCGACTGGGAATGGAATTGATGACCTGTGTTCGAAAGTAAACGGATATATCTCTGAACTTTCTCGCTTCTTCACTGCAAAGTGTCTAGCCCTCTCCCCCACGAAATCCTCTGCGACCCTGTTCACAACCTGGACGAAGGAGGTCAGGCTACCGCTAGGAATTCACGTCGATGACACACCAATTCCGACGGTGAATAATCCTAAAATACTCGGAGTAACATTCGACGGCCTGCTCTCCTTCTCTGCGCACGCAACCGCTATTGTCAATAAAGTTCAGAGCCGTAAAAAGGTCCTCAAGTCGCTAGCCGGCAGTACTTGGGGCAAAGACAAAGAAACGTTGCAGGCAACATACAAGGCAATAGGCCGGTTTTAAACTACGCAGCACCAGTGTGGTCGCCGGGGACTAGTAGGACGCAGTGGACGAAGCTACAGACGGTACAAAACACACAGCACTTAGGACAGCGACCGGATGCCTCCTGATTTCACCAGAACACCACCTCCACGACGAGGCGAAAATGCTCCCAATTAGGACGCCCAACACGATGCTCTGCAAGCAGTTTCTGGTTGGTAGCCACAGATGTGGCCACCCAAATAGACAGCTGCTTGCAGAGGAGCCCTCGCCGAGGCACGTCAGGAGGCATCTATATGAACTGACGGACGAAGTCCAGAGGTTCATTAAGCAGCCTCTGGACCCGTCAGCTCACAGACAGGCCCTGAACGGCATTCACAGGGATGCAGTCAGTATCTGGAATCGAGGACCTGTAAACTTATTTACAGATGGATCGAAGCTGAATGGGAAGGTGGGTGGAGGTGTCTTCTGCGAATAACTCTCCATCAACCTGAAATTTAGGTTACCGGATCACTGCAATGTTTTCCAGCCTGAGGTGGCCGCGATGAAAGAGGCTTCGGATTGGTTGCTCTCTAGTGTAACATCTGTTAAGGAGGTAAATATTTATTCTGACAGCCAAGCAGCCATCATGGCTCTTGGCTTCCTGACGGTGAGTTCGAAAACGGTGAGGGAGTGTTCGACTTCCCTATCGAACGCGTGTGATTATTTTGCTATTAAGCTTATTTGGGTTCCAGGTCACAGCGAAATCGCTGGCAACGGCATGGCTGATGAGCTCGAAAGACAGAGAACCCTCGAAGAATTACTTTCGTACAGGGGGGTCAGGGGGCTCCCCTGACCTCGTGTGGTCTGCTTCTGGACAGAACGACGTTTAGTCAGCTCAGCGAGCCTTGCAAGGTGGCAAAGTCCTTCTGGCCACGGGTGGACCGGAAGCGGTCTGGGAAGCTCTTCAGACTAAGCAAGCTGCATCTCTCACTATTGGTGAGAGTGCTTACTGGTCACTGGTAACCATGCCGTAAGGCTGAATGTCGTCGATAACCCTTCCCTGCAGGGAAAGCTACTAGTTGTGAACTAGAATTCTACCATTTTGCGTTTCAGTCCAACTAGTTCACGTTCTATCCTTTTTCAATGTTAGCGACTGGTATTTTTAACATTTGCGATGTCCTACGAGATGTCAATTGTCAGGCTATGCATCAGCATCTACTAGTAGAAATACTAGTAGCATCATAGCAGTTGATGAGATAGTCTGCCAATTCATCCCCTATGAAAAGCATTAGTATGCCTTTTTGCTCGCGGCGCTCCAACAGTCGCAATGGCCGACAGAGCAAAGCACTCGCGTGGTATGCCTGAGGTACCAGGTTCAAGCCCGGGCGCAGGGAAAATTTTTTTATTTTATTTTATTTTTTATATATTTTTACGGTTTTTTTTGTTCTTAAATTTAATTTAAAAAAAAAATTTTTTTTTAATCTATTTTTTTATTGCATAAGTATTTCTTCCCATATATTTGTTTCTTTTTTTTTTGTAATGCAACTAGATTTTTAAGTTTGTTATTTATATTTAAATTGAAATAATTATTCCTACTTACATTGGTCTAACTTTAAAAATCTTAACCACCTCCAAGCGGCCTCGAACCTGCGATCCCAGAACCAGAACCAGTAGTCTTCACGTGACGCCACAGCCGACATTTGTAAGAAAAGCAATCAATTGCGTTTTATTTTAGGCTTTGGCAATTCAAAGGCAGATGTCGCTGAACGCTTAAGTTCTTCGAAAATGTCGAACTGGTTTGGGTTTTCACTGCAGGGTTACTGCACCAGCATGGAGGATGATGAGGTGCAATCATCTCAACATCTGCTGCTCTGGTGCCCTGGTCGCACTTTTTCCACACTCCCGATGAGCTTTTGGGAGTGCACATCAGTCGACTCAAGAGCTTCGTTGTGAGCACGGAGCGTTTCTCCGGCAAAAAGCCATAGGTGTCGTCTTTCTCCCAGAGCCTCCCCCCTAGTTCACCTACCCATCCACTCTCTTTTCTCCGGCCTACATGCGCCCTTTTCCTTCTCTCCTATAAGGGCATCACAATGGACAGCTCAGTTGAGTCCAAGTGTGCCCCCATATGCGGAGGCAGCCCGCTTACCTAACCTAACCTAACCTAGTTTGCCCTTGTTATATTTGGTTTGTTTCACAAACCATGTTATATTATATAAATCGATATACTGAAAAAGTGAGCAGACATGCCACAACTTTTTTTTATAGAATGCAACTATAACGTCCAAGGTATATGTAAATGAAAACACTTTTGCTTGATCCCACCTACTTCACAACTGTATGTCTACGTATATAGTCAAAAACCCCTTGTTTTTATCCTTTCTATAAAAAATAAAATAAAATACTTAGAACCATAGTAAAAGAAAAATAAGATCATTTTGTATTGCCCAAATACCTCAACAAGAAGATTACATTGCCGTTTTTGATTTATCTTTAAAGAAAACTTAGAAATAGCTTAGAAATATGAAATATTAAATCACGTTTATCACTTTGCGCACATAAAAGGAAAAGACAAAGACTTTAAGAGTATATTGCAAGAAAACGGTAAATTTTTGGGCAACTATTTGAATACATAGTGATGTAAAATTTTATCTACTTCCATTCAGTGATGAAATTGATGGTACAATTGTCCTTTTTTCTGTACATTTTGGAAGCCAAAAGTACTATTGTACTACATTGACATTTTTGATACATTTTTGTCAAGATACGGTACTGCACCACAATTATGTCAAAATACCCCACTTATGTCAAAATACCGCACTCTATTTACTTACGGCCATATTATTGACACTCCGAATATGCCGGAATAAGAATATTTACGGAATAGAGGAGAATTAGTCGGAATAAGTGTATTATTGACGCATAGAATAAAATGGAATAAGGTGTAATAAGAATGTCGGAATTGTTATTCCGGGTGTAGAAACGCGATCTTGCGAGGAACAAAATAATAAGAGTTCGCCTTTTGCTGACAATAACGCTTTCCAAGGCGTGATCCTTTATTTCCTAAAAGTATAAATATGCGTGTAAGTTACAAATAATATATTAGCAATAGAAAAACAACTCTTACACTTTTGTGTGCTTTCCTCCTCTTGAAACGCCAGATCACGAATGAGTTTGGATTTTTTCATTAGTGATGTGGTCGTTTTTACAAAATTAGAAATCGATAACAATTATTACATTACATTAAGGTACAGTAGAGGATAGGTTCGCTTGAACAAGCAAGTAACTACAAAATCAACATTAAGGTACAAATAGATTAATACAATTGAGTGAACAAGCAAGTGACTGCGCTAACAGCCCCTCCCCCGTAAATCTAACCAGATTTACCCAACTCCAGCTTAGCTAAGATGCAGGCCGGCCGCTTAAATGTGCCCGTCTTCGTCTGGATTTGTGCGGCTCTGACCTGGTCGTCTTTACCCGGGAACACTTCGAATATTCGTCCCATGGGCCACCTCCATTGGTGCAAGCTTCTATCGCAGATGAGCACGATGTCGCCCACAGCTAAGGGCTTTAATGACGAATTGACGATATTTCCCGCCTCACACATCAGACTATATAGGGCGTGCTCCTGAAGACTTTCATTGTGTACTGCGTGGCCCATTGCTCTCTTAACACTTCTTACCAAACGTTCCCAGCACCCTCCAGCATGCGGATTCAATGGGCAATTGAAAATCCATTCTATATTATGACTGGCCAGCGCGTTGGCTATATTGCCCTTGTCGAACTCAGTCAGCTGTCTTTTCAGCTCTTTATCCGCACCGACGAAATTTGTTCCGTTATCGGAGCGAATGCGCACCGGGGTTCCGCGTCTACACACGAAATTACGTATGCATATCAAGCAGGCGTCTGTAGAGAGGTCTTTCGCTATTTCGAGGTGTATCGCTCGCGTGGTCAGACACGTAAAGAGAGCAATCCAGCGCCTCTCGCGCCGTCTGCCGATGACGATAGAGAACGGCCCTATAAAGTCTAGCCCGACGTAAGTGAAAGGCCTAACAAACGGTGTTAAGCGGTCGATCGGCAGTTGTCCCATCTTTGGTTAATGTGGTGCTGCTTTTTCCTTCATGCAAATCTGGCATCTCTTAGCGGCTCGTCGCACCTCGCACCTACTTCTGCTATTATCGTTGACTCGTTTTGGTGTTTCCATATGCGGTGGAAGTGATCTAAGATTATCTGTTAGGTGGCATCTTCTTGGTAGGATAACGGGGCGCCTGGTGTAAGTGGGGATTGCGACGGCCACATCTATCCGACCACCCAGCCTTATTACTCCTTCCTTGTCCATAGTCGGACTTAAGGTCCACAACGCGCTACTTTTATCTATTTGCTTGTTTGCACGCAGGGTGTGATATTCGTCCAGGAAAACCTCAATTTGTGTTGCCTTAATAACAGCTGTCTCAGCTCGCCTCAACTCGGACACCATCAGGACGCCATTGACTCGTGTCGCTCTTGTTCTGCGGCAATTTTCTCGGAATCGTAGTATCCAGCCAACAACTCGCTTCAATCTCGTAAAGGATGAAAATTTCCTAAAAAATGTAGTATCGGTTTTAATTAACAGAATAGCAAATTTGTTACGCAGCTCGACGTTCGTGCCCTCGTACGTTTCCTTTGGAGGCCAGCGTGTCTCCTCTTCTTTCAGGAATTTCGGACCCGTGATCCAGAGTGAGTCTCGTCTTTCATCTCTGGTACGCGTCCTGTGGTCTGCGGGGTTTAATGCGTTGGGTAACCACCTCCAGTCGTTGATGCCACTGCCATCCAGAATCTCATTAAATCGGTGTGCCACGTAAGGTTTATAGCGGCGGTGGTCGGATTTTATCCAAGATAGGACCGTTCTGAGTCAGACCACATCCCGACACTACACGGAATCTTCTCGTGACCTTCGACAATGCTTTCCCTAAGACGCGTGGCGAGCACGGCTGACTGCAGCTCGAGACGAGGCACGGACATGAGTTTTAGTGGCGCGCACTTAGTTTTACCCGCGACGAATGTCAGCTGAATGTTACCATTGTCGTCTGTTATCCTCCAGTAAGAAACAGCAGCGTAGGCCATCTCGCTGGCATCTACAAACACATGCAGCTCGGCCGGCGCTTTCATAAATGCAGCTCCGTAACGTGGTATGCTTACTTTCACCAATTCAGGCAACATTCGCAGCCACTTTCGCCATCTGTCGTACACTGCATTGGGTATGCCTCCATCCCAATCGACTCGCTCTCGCCATATCATTTGCAGGACTAATTTTGCTTCTAGGGTGTACTCTGCGGCGATCCCAAAGGGATCGAACACGGACATAGCCATACTGAGAACTTCTCGATTTGTCGGACGCCGCTTCTCCTTCAACACGTCTTGGTTAACCTTTCCAAAGGATAAAATAAATTTCAATTCATCTTGTTCCGTGTCCCAGAACATCCCAAGCACTTTTTGAAACATCCTTGCGTTTTCCCTATCGAGATTCAGAAGAGGTAAAAGTGGACTCTGTTTATTTAGGCTTCTAACGAGTTGCGAGTTAGATACGAACCTTTTAAGTTCGAAGCCCCCATTTTCATGAATATAGATAACCTGCTTCGTAACTCTCAAGGCCTCATCTGCGTTTGAAAAACAATACACGAAATCGTCGACGTAATGGTTGTTTACGATCGCCGCCGCAGCTTCCGGGAATCGCTCTTTAAAATCTTCCGCATTTTTATTCTTCACGAACTGCGCTGAGCACGGCGAACACGTAGCCCCAAACGTCATTACGTTTATAACGTACTCCTCCACCGGCACTCCAGGATCAGCTGTCCACAAGAAACGCTGTGAGGTCAAATCTTCATCTCTTATCCTCACTTGATGGAACATCTCGACGATATCCGCACAGACTCCAATAGGCTTCTGTCTGAATTTCATGAGGACTGTTGCTAACGGCTGCGAAAGATCAGGCCCACTTAGTAGCTCTGAGTTCAGCGAGACGCCCTGCGATTCTGCTGCAGCATCGAAAACGAGCCTGAGTTTCCCTGGTTTGTTAGGGTTGTATACGCCAAAATGAGGTAAGTACCACGTACGTTCGCTTGTCGTCTCTGCTTCCTCCTTGCTCAGCTTGCGGCAGTAACCCTTCTCAACATATTCCGCCATGATTGTTGTATATACTCTCTTCAGATGGTTATCACCTCTAAACTTTCTTTCCAAAGCTAGAAATCTATTCTCCGCCATCTTGCGGCTCTCTGGAAGCTTCACGTCGTCCCGCCTCCACAACAAACATGTTTCAAATTTACGACCATCGCGCTTAGTATCTTCATTCAAAAGTTTCTTGGCTCGTGCTACGTATTGAGGCTCGGCCACCTGCTTCACCTCACTTACGCCCATGTTCTCGTTGGTTATAAAATCGTCCACGAATCCTCCGGCTTGTCGGACGTTTCATCTCTTACCCTTGCAAACAGAGTGATAGCGTGCTTGAGTTAGAGTATTTGCCGTCCCATAGATAACTCAACCGAGTTTGGTGAGTACTACTGCATGTCCTCTGCTGCCATCGTATGCTGTACGTCGCGGAATACCAATGTGCGCGTTATCTAAGCCGATCAACAACTCTGGTGTAGCGTCGCTATATTGCCAGATCGGTAAGTGTCGGTGCTTGTAATGAAGATCAGATATACTAAGTGACTGCATTGGTAACTGAAGGTTCGAAACCGTGCGAACATCACGCATTGTAAACTTCCTGCGGTTACGACCGACACCAGAAATCTGTACACTCACCCTACGCGAAGGTTCTGTAACGGTCGTGCTACCAATCCACTGTAACGTCAAATTCTCGCTATCGCCCCTAAGCCCGAGGCGCGTTGCTAACTCACTATTTATCAAAAATATGGCTGACCGTTCATCGAAGAACGCGTAGCACTTAATTTCCTTACCATTGGCATATAGCAACACGGGGAATATCTTAAATAATAAGTTCGGCGCGGGACTATGCCCTATAGTATTCGTAAAGTCTTGCTGTACCTCTGCCTCAGATGCCCCATGCCTCTACGCCGCATGTCCTGATGCCGATGGTAAAGTCTGTTATGTGGCTAACTGCGGTGTCGACTGTGATGCCTACCCCCGCTGCCCTTGCTTCGCTAACTGCCACTCTCGATCTCTGGGTTCATGAAGAAGTGCGTGCAACATTTTCGTACAACCCCTAACTCCGCATTCGTGCTGTTCTTCACAAGCATTGCTGCGATGGTTTCCCTTCAAGCAGTTGAAACACAGCCTTTTTCGACGAATTAGACGCCACCTGTCACCGAGATCCATCGCCAGAAATCTCCTGCATTTACTTAACCGGTGTCTCTCTGCCCATGCATCACACTTCGTTCGCGATGAACCGTCACTGATAGCCTCGCTCGCGTGGAAAAACCTCGGACGCCCCTCATATTTATTTTGGCGTTGCTCCGAACCCGTATACGCGCAGGCTGAGCTCACAATCGTTGACAGCTCTTCGCCATTCGCTGAAGTGACAAATTGTTGGTCTCGGAACAATTGATGTAGCATGACGTACCCACTCGATGCATCTTTGTACCGGAAGCTTCAGCAGCAGTTCTTCCATCATCGTCGGATTGGACAAATGGTGTTCGCAGTCAGCCGCCTGAAGAAACGAAGACAACTTCTGGACTTTGGTCGCGAATGTCACTAGTTGCTCAATGCGACTTTCGCAAATTGGGGCAATATTTCTAATTTTGTTAATTTGGCTCTTCACTAGCTGTTCCGGCTTTCCAAAACGCTCCCCTAAGACTTTAATAATTTGAGATACGTTTCTGCTATGAATCAATAAGCATTCGATAGTGTCTCTCGCCTTGCCTTTGACCGTCTTTTGTAGCCGCATCATATTTTGAGTGTCACTGTATTGATACTCTTCACTTGTCATTAAAAAAGTTTCTTTAAACATCGGCCAGTCTTCTGGCCGCCCATCAAATTCCGGCAAATCGTATAGTTTACGTGTCGGAGCGGGCTGGGAGCTAGCTTGAGAACGACCGATTACGCTGGATGCCGTCGCAATTATTTCGTCGGTGGCAACCGGGTTTGCTTGCACTAATCTGTTTTGCCTTATTTCTTCTTGAAGATTTTGCACCTACTGAAGAATTTCAGTTAGTATCATCTCGAGCGATTGGTGAGCGAGTGAACTCGCTGGAGGCTGTCGAATAACCGTTTCTTCGAAATCGTCATATGTATCGCTATCTCCCTCTCTCGTAGCGGCATCCTTACTTACTTCGGAACGCTTTTCCGCATAATTAAAATGGTTGCTGGCAAATTATTTCGCGCGCTTTTTGTAGTAATGGCGCCAATTTTTTCTACTACGTTTCTGTTCCACCCACATTTCTACCCGTGACAAACCACCGACTACAATGCTTTACCCCCAGATCAATTTCTTAAGGCACTTACCAAATGAGCTTTGTTTCGAATACGGATAGCACTAATCCTCTTGCTTCTCTTACGTTCAACCTTCTTTCTTCTGTCACGTGCTGCCCAATACTTCTCCTGACCCGATAGTTGCCTCGGTTCCGGCACAAGTAATTATCCTCGAATAACGCTGAAGTCCACGTGCGCCTGCGCACTACCCTCTCGGGATTACTTATTTCAGCTAGCTTCTCGCCTGAGCTCTCAAGCACCTTAACACAACGACTAAATCTAGTGGTGCAGCTCACTATTCGACGATAGGATGTTTCCGGCCTTCTTATAACCGATAAGACTCAGTCCAATATGTTGGCAGCGTGCTTATAAAAGTGAATAAAGGCTGTAGAAACGCGATCTGGCGAGGAATGAAATAATAAGAGCTCGCCTTTTGCTGACAATAACGCTTTCCAAGGCGTGATGCTTTATTTCCTAAAAGTATAAATATGCGTGTAAGTTACAATTAATATATTAGCAATAGAAAAACCACTCTTACACTTTTGTGTGCCCTCCTCTTTTTTTTTTGGGTTTTGGGTAGGTTGGCCGGTTTATATAAAACTACCGCCAGGTTATTCCTCTGCTTTCAAAGTATTTTTTTAGTACGTTGTCTTCCAAATGTTGTATTAAATCGTCGCTCCACTGATACACGATGGTAATACCGCTAAGGGCCAGAACCNTTAATATATTAGCAATAGAAAAACCACTCTTACACTTTTGTGTGCCCTCCTCTTTTTTTTTTGGGTTTTGGGTAGGTTGGCCGGTTTATATAAAACTACCGCCAGGTTATTCCTCTGCTTTCAAAGTATTTTTTTAGTACGTTGTCTTCCAAATGTTGTATTAAATCGTCGCTCCACTGATACACGATGGTAATACCGCTAAGGGCCAGAACCACGTGCAAAAGTTTCTGCTTATGTATCAAACGTCTTATTACTTTCAATTATTAATCAATTATAACAAAATTAAAGTGTACTGTGATTTAATGGTCCACAAGTAACCAGGTTATTCCTCCAATTGTTAGGTATGTCAATGTATTAAAGATTAAAATTTAAATGGCTGGAAACAAAGCCCTCATGTCGCCAGGTTCTTCCTCCAATTTGGTAATTTATTGTATTTTAATGGCAGGGAGCTATGTCCTCATATCGCCAGGTTATTCCTCCAATTTGATAATTTTATAATTATTCGTCAAATTATTTTAGGTTGTGTGCAAAAATTTTCTGTTGCGTTATGTGGAACAGTTACAGTGCATGTTACTTTTTTATTTCGCAGTTACTTTGTTCATACGATAGTACCGTATCAACGGTACGCTTCATGAACGAAAGACAAGATCACGCGGGAAGAAAAGAAAGAAAAAAGTTATTTTCTAGCTGCCGAAATCTTGACGCCATCTTTGTTGTAAGAAGTAAACCACGAAGAGAACGGAGAAAACCGCGAAATTGTTTAACGCATGAATAATCAATTTCATTATGAAAATTCTTCTATAAATCATGTCGTTGTGTTAAATTATTCTTTATCTTATGTGTACACACGTTGTCACAGGCGAAAATGAAGAAAATTGCAGTAAAAAGCCACCACCAAATTGTAAACAACGAAGAAATGTAAACAAACGGCTAATGTCAAAATCGTTAAACTTTTTCCTAAATGCGATTCTAACGGGCTACTCTCCTGCCCGCGTGATCTTGTCTTTTTGGTTCATGGGTACGCTTTAACATATTCATTTAGTTTTTATATCTACTCTTTTTCAATAAACGTCTATTACTTATGTAATTATTATATTATTTGTAGTATTATCTTCTCTTGTTTTTAAAACTTTTAATTTTGTATTTAATGAACCGACTTCATTTTTATGTATAAAGGTGCTGGCCCAATGCAGGCTTGCTTTGCTTGCTTCGCTGCGAGAAGCGTCAAAAATTATCTGAAATATATTAAAACGTATAAAGGCTGGCCAAATGGCAGCTTTTCTTCACTTGCTTTAAGCACCTCAAAGTTTGAAATAGGCAAATGTTTTATTTGAAAGCGTTTTGTAGGCTTTTGACAAAGAGGTATGTTCCTTTCAAAATAGATAAATTCAAACAAAAATTTGCTTACTTAATTTAAAAAAGTCACAGAAAATGCAGGTAATTCGAGATGAAATAAAAATGAGTCATTGTTTCCATATTTATATTTAACATATCGTTATCTTATAGTAAAAAGTTGCAAAGCCCACTTTTACAAATTTTACACGAGAGGAAAAAACTTCTTATAGCTCTTTTCTTCAAGTAAATCGCTTTTTTAAGTTATAGTTTTTTTAGTAAATGTAGATATAGATATGTATGTATCATTAATATCATTTCTTTTATCAAGCGGTGATACAAAAAAGAAGGTAGTTTCACTTTAAAATTTTTTGACATAAACTGTGCTTATGACGTTTATGCTTTTCGTAAATTGCTCGAGTATCAGTGCCACCTCAACAAATTATTGTTTTGGAAATTTTATTATTTTTAAAGGAATTTTTTATGCATTAAAAAATAACAACACGCAAGGTAAGTTTACTTATTTCATCGTATTAGCATAGCTGTTAATAAGTGAGTATTAATTTAAAATACCTTAAATTACCTTAAATAGATATGATTTCTTTTAAATACAAATATTTCGAATTCAATTAAAAATAAATCTAAAAGTTTTTGATACATTTTTTAGAGTTTTCTAGGAAATATTTATTAACGTTAAGGGAACAGACATTGACTTTTCAACCAGACAGCTGGTTACTTTGACAGCGTTCCAAGCCACCATTCGGCCGAGCAAGTTTTCAAAGTAAATCAAAGCAAATTGAAGTCAGCAAGGCGCGCAAAGCAAGCCTGCATTGGGCCAGCGCCTTAAATTAATCAGATATTTGCTTTAACAAAAAACTCGACAGGTCAACACGACCATACTCGTCGAGGAGCCATTTTGAACTGGTACTTTCCTCTTCTTGAAACGCCAGATCTCAGTATATCCAGTAAAAAAACTGTGGTGAAGTCCTTTATGGGGATAAAGTTTCCAGAGGTGAAATTTTAGGTAGCACACAATTTCTTACACGCATGGTTGCTTTTCAGCACTCATGAAAGAAACTAAAGACATATTTGAAAAAAAGTTCATAAAGTACATTAACTTTTGAAAGAAATACCATATAATGTATGTACTCTGGTTAATAATATCAAAAAATGTATTAGAACCATCGTTTAATGTTATATTTGGTACAAATTAATATTGCTGACCCGAACGCTCTGCGCCTTGCCACTGAATAATATATTTACTTAAAATGACATCCCTGGTCCTTGTTCTTTCTGTATCGCATCGTGGTGAATTCACATTTCTCAGAAATTTGACAACAAAACAAAGGGCGTATTTTATTTGCTAATTTTTGCGATTTCTATTGTTTGATGTAAATTTATGTCTTTTGAGGATATGTTGAGGCAATAAAGAAGGCGCAGTTTGAAAATGGAGTTATTAGTAATGAAGTAGCAGGCATATTTGGAAAATTATGCCGATAAACAGGATGGAATTTGGAAAGTAAGTGCCTGGTTGCAGCATATCTATGTATTAAAAAGTATTTAATTAAATTGTTTAATAGAAATGTTATAAATCGAGTGGCTCATCTACGATGTGCTCCAAACATTTGGCGAACTTTTTTTTCGCCTTTTCAATGTGCTAAGTAAGAAACCGCAAACAAAGGGCAGACAACCTTCCCGGAAGCTGCCTCCTGTCCCTGAGTCGAAGCTGAAGTTCAGCAAGAAGCATGCCAGCAAACTGCTACCCTGATCAAGCGTAAACTAAAGCGCTCTGCTGCGATTACACTCCGTAAACGTGAAAACTTGGTGCATGCTGAGAAATATCAAACAAGAAAACTCCGGGATGGACGCCGTGAGATGAAGTTCCGCCGTGTGGAGAAATAACGCGGCCAATTCTACGTGTCTAAAAAATCCAAATTGGCTTTTGTGATCCGTATCCGCGATATCAACAAAGTTGCACCAAAAGTTTTACTGTTGTTCCGTTTTCGCCACATTAAACACGGTTTGTTCATCAAATTGAACAAGGCAACCATTAATAACCTACGTATGCCGAACCCTATATGGGGTTATCCAAATCTTAAATCAGTTCGTTAATTGATGTACAAACGTGGAATTGTCTAGCACAACCATCAACGTGTCCCAATCTCTGACAGCAAATTGCTTAAAGCGCACGAAATTCAGTGCGTTGATTATTTGGAGCACGAAATATTCACTGTTGGAACCCACTTCAAGAAAGCCCCCAACTTCCTGATGCCATTCAAGCTCAACACATCAAACCGAGGCTGGCGCAAGAAGGCTAATCACTACGTTGAGGTTGGTGTTTTCGGTAGCCGTGAGCATAAGATCAACAAACTGTTCCGAAAGATCGCTTAAAGAATTTTTATTTTGTATTTAAAGCGACAATATACTTTGGCACATCTTCAAAAGGCGCCCAAGCAAAAAAAAAAGAAAATTAAAAAATTCGGGAAGTTGACTTCACACGGGTCGATTTCTGTCGATTGGAAAATCGACTGAGATATTGACCAGCCAAAACGCTTACATTTTACGGTTGAAGTGCAATTTACACGGGTAGATTTCAGTTAAACGACAAACAGCGACCGTGTAAAGGCAGCTTAAATAACGTTCAAATTAATGATCACTTTTGAGATGGAAAATACCAATGGGTCGTATGAATAAAAACTGAGCAATTGCTTTTTCTTAAAATTTCATACCGGTTACTTCACTTTTGTTTGAATAAATCGAGTAAAAGGTGTGAAATTTTAAGAAAAAGTAATTGATTATTTTTATTCATACGGCCCAGTAACCATTTCATAATTTCGAAAATTATTCCATTTATATTTGTTCTTGCATTTTCCACACCACCTGTGAGGTAAGCTTTTAGGCGCGTTACCGATTTTTTTTTTAAGGTGCTCGGTTCCTCAGGATTCCTATTTTTACCTTTACAACTTAACTTAAAAAGAATTAAAACTAAAGTATGCAATATATAAAGAAAATTAAAAATTGTCTTACATCTAGTAAACATAAAAAATTGCAAAAATTAAATTCATTATTCATTATAAAATAAAATTAAATATCTCACAATTCAGTTGAAGTGTATACATATATATCTATGTACATATTTACAAAATGTGGTCTGTATGCACCCACAGTAAGTTCCCATAAAACCCAGCCTAAATTCAGAACTGAAAAAAACGAGCAAATGGGGTCGGAAACTACTAGCTTTAAAAGCATAATGTGGAAAATGTTTGAAGAGCTGAAACTGTATTGCAATAATGAAAATACCAGTGCATAAATTGGAAAAATTGTTTTTGTTTTGCTGTATAATTTTTGAAAATATTGGTTCAGATGGAATTTCGTTATTTGTTTTGGTTTTTCGGGTCATTAATGATGCACCCAGGGTTGCATTTACTGTCTATGAAAATATTTCATGAGCGTTCCAAAATTAGCTCCGAGCAACTAAAAGTTGGTTAAGCTTAAATGAAATAGTTTTTTATTAAATATTTATTCCTGGTATTTAGTAAAAAACATCAATACTAATGTATGAAAAACAAAACATCAATACTAATGTATGAAATGAAGTAAATAAAAATCTACAAATACATTCCATGAATATTTTGTCACAGAGCCATTATTAAATTTAGACATAGCTTTGTCAGGCGTTGGTACTGACGTATATAGAATTAATGCGTTAGAGAGAGATAAATATACAAGTTCAACGCGCTAATTTAGGTATACTTGTATGTAAATACCTGTTACTCGTCTGGCATATACTCCAACTGCGAAAATAATGACAATTATAATTTATGTAGATCCCTGGATAAAAGATTGTCACAAGTTACTTTCGGTAACTCACGATTGAAGTTTGGAATGCAATTTCTCAGAAACACGACTACAGATTTTCTCCAAAGTGTCGGAGAATGCTATGTACTAGTTCATGAAATTCTTAAATTATCTTATTTTTTTTAGTTTAGTGTCAACCATTTATGAGTTTAATAAAATTTTGTCGTATACGACATTTGTCAAAAAATTTGCAGTCAGTTTTAGTGATATACGCCAAAATGTGATAACAATTTTTATAAATTAACCATACTTTTTACTAATCAGCCTAATCGTGAGTTTCGCCCGAACAAAATTTCGCCAACAATTTTTTCATCCACCTGTAGTGAACACACGCAAACGAAAAGTGACCCGGTTCTAGAAAATGAAACTCATGATAAAGCTGAATATGTCGGAAACTAAAGAAGAACAGATAACTCTATTTGAAAGATCTTGATTAGTTTAGTACGACAGCAATACTAACGCAATTTGTACCAAATAACCGAAAAAATTTTAGTCAATTAGTCGGAAACTAAAGAAGATATCCAAAAACCACAAATTGTCAAAATGACGCTTCCGGCAATTTTCCATCCAGGCGACGATATTTGAATAGGTTTGTATAGTTACCAATAGTCAGTACTAATTTGTACTGGAACCTGCAAACTTTTACTGGAAAAGTGTATGATAACCCAAAAAATTTGCAAGAGAGCACTGAATCGAGAGCGTAACAACACGAGAGAGCTGCAAATTCTTGCTAGTGAAATTTTTACTAGCAGAAATTAGCTAGCAGAAGAAGAAGAAGAATAAATGTCAAAAGAATATATAAAAAGTGGTGTTACTAGCTCAGTTGATTTTGTGTATGTGTTTCGCCGCACGGCTTCTGATATCAAATTGAAAAATTTTGTTTGAATTTCTACTCACACTTACAGGTTTTGACAGTTTATGCCGCCAAAGCAAAAACAAAATACATGTAAATTTTTGTTTTTGTACTCCTGCTATCACCTTATATTGATTCGCCTTGGCACAAACAAAAGTAAAATGAGTGGAAATCATAATATTAATGATGTACTGGACAGTGTAAGTGCTTGTGTGTAAAGCAAAGAGTTTAAAACTGATTTATAAATAGTAAAATGTTTACAGCAGATTGTCAAAGCAGTGCAACAACTGTTCTCTTGCAAGTTTTTGCTAGTTTTGTGTTCAATAACCTCTTCTGCTAGTTTTCTCTTCTTCTCAATTTTACGCTCTATTTTGCTTTTACGCTCTCGCTGCAATGTTTTACTGGAGAAGTTACTATACAAACCTAATGTTACTCGCATATTTTCGAGCCTGTATGTAAATTTTCGGGAAAAAGGTTAAAAAGTATATTCATCTGCTGAAAAGATATTTTCGCAGATTCACAATTTATTTAAAATAAATCTATCAGCCCTATCTCCAATTCCATGTGAATAAATCTCTCCAGTGCTTAAATAATTTTCACCACATTAAATAGCTGCACAACACCCTAATTGCCGAAAAAGCGTTGCTTGCAACACTAGTCCTTTATGGGGACCAAACTTGGTAAAAAAAAATAGCTAAGTTTGTTTACTGGATATACTGAGCGCCAGATCACGAATGAGTTTGGATTTTTTCATTAGTGATGTGATCGTTTTTACAAAATTAGAAATCGATATCACTTATTACATTACATTAAGGTACAATAGAGGATAGGTTCGCTTGAGCAAGCAAGTAACTACGAAAATAACATTAAGGTACAAAAAGATTAATACAATTGAATGAACAAGCAGGTGACTGCGCCAACACCGGGTAATAACTAAGCGGGCAGAAACTAGCGAATAAGGCAGTTATTCTATTTAATTCATTCAAAATTCATTATTGACTTACAATTGCTTTCGAAATACCTACAGGTAAGAAATGTAAACTGTTTTTAGTTTGTAACTATATTTTTTTTATCCATTTTAGGTGATATAATGGCGCGCCCATCTCGAACCAATGTGCTGATCGGAATTGACGTGTTCAACGCATTTACGACGAAGACCACAAAAATGGACTCGTGCGACGATTTTGACTTTTTTTTCTCGATTCCGTATGACAAATGCAAGATTTGAGCACGTGCTACACTTGATTGTGCCTTACATGCCAGAAGTACATCAAAGGTATCAAAAGCTGTATTGAGTTCATATGTATACTAATTAAATATACAGACACCGCTATATCTCACACGAAGTGCAGCTACTATGCACATTGCGTTTCTTGGCTGCTGGTAGCATACAGTCTATCGTTGGTGATATTATACGAGTTTCCCAACCTACGATTAGCAACTTGTTGCCAAAAGTGTGCAAAGCAGTTCTCCGAATTCTACCTGATATAGTTAGAATGCCGCGGACACAGGGGGAACTAAAAACGCCGGCTGCCCTTTTCTATATGTTTGGAAATTTGCCAAGAGTCATTGGAGCCATTGACTGTACACACAGAAAAATTCAGTCACCGGGAGGCCCAAACGCGGAAATATTCCGAAACAGGAAGGGATATTTTTCTTTGAATGTTCAAACGGTTGCAGCAGCTAATCTGAAAATCTGAACACCGTTACACGATGGCAGGATTGGCACACGACTCGTCTATATTTCGATCGAGTGCACTATGGCAGCAATTCGAAGGGGGCGAATTTCGCCACTACATTTTAGTCGGTGATTCCGGCTATGCCAATTCTCCCTTCCTGGCAACACCATTCGCAAAAAATTGTTCTGAGCTTCGCGCTGGATTACAACACGTACAAGAATATCAGCGGGCAATTATCGCCACAAGGAATTGCGTGGAACGCTCATATGGAGTGCTGAAGCGACGCTTTCCAGCATTTGCCTATGGTTTGCGTGCCAAAACATCGACTGCATAAATGCTTGTTGCGACCGCTGCAGTACTCCACAACATCTGTATCGATGAGAATGAGCAATTACCCAAAACACCACCTTGCTTCACTAGCAACGAAATAGAGATCAACATTGGTGCGACAGAAGATACTCCAAATAGTAACCATGCCAGTGAACACACACACCAATCACTTGACTTGATTAGAAAAGAGGATAATTTCATTTAATTAATTTATTTTTTGCAATGAATAACATTTTTTTTTTTTATAGTTAAATAATTAATATGTCGTCATAAATGCTCGAATCTTCAAGCTCCTTCTGGACGATTTTTTCAGATTCTTGTGCATTTATCGGTTTGTGCGTCTTTAAGTATAGGATGTGACGCTCCTGCGCTTCTTGTTCCCGATTAGCGAAGAATTGCATTATTTGCTTCTGAGCAGTTTTTTGTAGCATAACCGCTTCCATATTAGCAGTATGTAACTCGAGGGCATGGCGCATATTTGTTGCGTGGAGTTCGCGTGACTGCGTCAATTCAAGATTTATAAGCTGCTGTCGCATTTCGTTTTCGCCATTATTTGGGTCACGGAATCTGCGTTTCCGTGATTGCCGCTGTTGTGCAACTGTTGCAAAGTATTGTCGCGGTTCTACTGTCGATGCTTCCTTGGGCAACGGCGAGCTGGTGGAAACGATTAAAGACTGGAAAAGTTACAGCTGGGAGTCAATATGGTCGATGACGGCGGACGGAATGGAATTGATGACCTCTGCTC